CCATCAAGACTTTTTTTTCTGGTAAGGCTTTGCTTATTTCAGAAAGAGAATGGCAAACCACATTGTGCAAGTGTTACAACATCATGAATCCGTTGTGAAAAGAGTCCTGGTGCTAAACTGGTCTGCCTGCAGTCCAGAAAGGTCAGCCATTGAAAACTTGGTGCACAAATGTGACAAAAAGAGTCTGCAAAAGTGTTGAGCAGCTGAATAATAAAATCAAGCGAGAATGAGAAAACATTATGCTTTAAAAACGACAGTAATTGGTCCCCTCAGTTCCAAAACACTTGCAGGGTGTTGTTAAAAGAGGAGATGACACACATTGGTAAACATGGCTCTGCCCAAACTTTTTTGAAACCTGTTGCTAGCATTAAATTCAAAATGAACAGATATTTTTCAAAAACAAAATTCATCAGTTTCAACATTTTATATTTTGTAGTATTTTCAATGTATTATAGAGTTTAAATGATTTGCCTATCATTGCAGTCTGTTTTTATTCACATTTTACACAACATTTTAGAAGCTCAATTCTAAAATCAAGGGATAATGAGAAAACATTATACATTAAAAACTGCAGTAATTGGTCCCCTCAGTTCCAAAACACTTGCAGGGTTTTGTTAAAAGAAGAGATGATTCAACACATTGGTAAACATGGCCTTGCCTCCAATTTTTTTTGAAACCTGTTGCTAGCATCAAATTCAAAATGAAAAGATATTTTTCAAAAACAAAATTTCTGTTTCAACATTTGATATTTTGCAGAATTTTCATGTATTATAGAGTTTAAATGATTGGCCATTAATTGCTGTCTATTTTTTATTCACATTTTACACAACGTTCCAACTTTTCTGGAAACAAGGTTGTAGATGATATTTTTGTTCATGATGTCATTAAAGTATTTCTCATCACAAATATATCAACTCTGGAAACAGTCTGTTTTGATGAATAATTAAATCTCACATCACAGTCCACATTGCCAGGTAGAGGAAACAATGAGTGGAAAACTTTTGTTAAAAAATGCAATTTAGTCCAATTTATAGGCTAAGAAATTAACTAGTTGGAAAAATAAGTAAAACTGCTCAAGGAGACGGAATTTTACCATTGGATGACAAAAAACAGTTAATGACGGAGCAACAAAGGGTGTCAAGTGAAATCAAAAGTTTAAATGAAAAGTGGACTGAATGCATGCACGGAGAAAGAGAAGTCTGCACTTCCCTTTAATTTATGTGAGTTTTATAAATGTTGGGACTGCAATGAAAGTACTCTTAGTGATAACTTCAATTGAAATAAAAGTAGTGGACCTCAATTAACTTAATATTTTTGGTCTCTAATCTCTTTTAGCTGAACTATCCATCAAATATGCCACAGTATTCATGTTCAATGCAGATGAAAAGCAGAACGCCAAGAACCAGCTCTATATCACCTCATTTGTATCAAACACTCATGTTCTTGTCACTGTCAACAATCCACCCTTCGAACAAGAACTGGTGATGGAGGGTGGAGAGTCTTCAACAGTGGACTTACCTTCTGACACAGAATTGAGAGGGACGGGAAAATATACCAAAACAGTCATAATACGTTCCAGCAGTTTCATTAGCATTGTTTCCTCCAATTGGAAGCCAAATTCAGTTGACACCTCACTGGTGTACCCAGAGACTATGTTGGGCCGAGAATATATTGTTCTCACTCCATCAGCCTCGGGGTACCCAAAAGAGATAGCTGTTTTTGCCACGCAGGATTCTACTTTGGTGACAATTGAGTTGAAGTGCACTGTTACCCTGGAAGGTAAAACTTATCAGCCAAATGAAAAGCTTACTGTTCCTATTCAGTCATCTGAGGTCCTCTACCTGGAGTCCCCTGAAGACTGCACTGGGTCTAGAGTTGTGTCAGACAAGTCTGTGGGTGTCATCTCAGGGCATGCCTGTGCTTGGAAGAACTCCAAATGCCAGCATGTCTTTGAACAGCTGTTACCAGTAGATCAGTGGGGCACATCCTACATTGTCCTACCTCTGGAGTATCAGATCCTGACAGATTCTGTGTTTATCTTTGCCTCCACACCAACTAGGGTCACTTACACATTGAATGCCAAATCTCAGGCCATTGATCTCAATGCTGGTCAGTGGATAGAGCTCGAAATGGTTAGGACTTATCCATTAGTCATGTATTCCACCGAGCCTATTCAAGTCCTCTACTTATGCAATGGTGGCAAATTTAGTGATGGTTCCCTATTTGACCCCTTTCTCATGAATATCATGCCAAGTGATAAGTTCTGTGAATCCTACACCTTGGAGGGTATGAAGAACTTTACTAACTATGCTCTTCTTGTGGCTAAGACGAACGACATTAAAAAAGTGCAATTTGATGACAAGCTTCCAAACGTGAAGTGGCTGACAGTTCCTGGGACGGAATACTCATGGGCTTTTTATGTCTATGGGAGAGGAAGAGAACACCATGCATTGAAGAGTCTTTCTGCCCCCATTGGGGTTTATAGTGTTGGCACAGTAGATAACAACAGTTATGGAGCTCCAGCAGCATGTGGCCGTGAGTAAAATAAAAAACAAAAACAAAAAAATTTGATTGAATACTGTGTATGACTTCATTCACTTTAACATTAAAACAATTGAATTGTCATCTTTTTCAGTCCTGACCTGCATCCAAAATGGCCAGTACCATCCTCCGGGAGAGGCATTCTGGGAGGAAAACACTGGCTGCACTAAGATCTGCAAGTGCGATCCCTGCACAGGTCGTGTCACCTGTCAGAAATCTCAGTGCAAAGCTGAAGAAGAGTGCAAAGTCATAGAGGGCATCAGCAAATGCGTGGCAAAAACGACTGTACTTGAGAATCCACCAAAAGGTAACATACCGTAACTATCTAGCAAATCCTCGAGAAGTTCTATGAAAAGATTTTCTTCTGGTTATTATCAGAATTGTTCTCCAGAGAGAACATGACAAAAGCCATACAAATATTTCTGATGAAACACCTTAGTGGAGACTGCAAGCCCCACATTAACCCAGTGATTGCGTTAAGCTGAGCAGAGCAAAGGGACCTGCGTGCGTGTCCTGGCACAGCTGGGAAGCAGATCCTATGAAAAGCCTAAGTTAAAGGATACGACTAATAACTACAAATATACAAATTTTATGGGGATTCTGAGTTCAGAAATCTAAATGTGGGTAAAATAATGCATTTAAGACACCACATATTGATTTAAATAATCAAAATCTGTATTTTTCCGATCGTTTGTAACCATATGCATATTTTCTCGGCACTACTCGGCATTTGCTGTCAGTGATGTCACTCAAGCAAATCCCCAGTGTTTTATGTGGGAAATTTGTATAAGCCATTATCCTCACAGACAAACTGTTGATCACCTATATTGAGAATATTCCATACTCTGCCGCCGTTGGCTGCAATGGACCTTTCCGACCTGTCAATCACATGTAGCAAAACAACAAATCAGATTGCCTTATCTTACTTAGGTCCAGCCTTCCCCGCTAGCACCACCATATTGTCCCAAACTCAGTGTAACCTTTAGCAGTGGACTTCTGCATACTACAAGCCAGTAGTTATTCTGCTGAGTGCACGATTCCTTCCTGCCACCCAGCACAGGCATTCACAACACTGGATATTATAAAAAACGTAGCCAGATGGTGAAGGATTTTGTAATAACATGAAGAAATCTGCTCAGAAACTTTAACGTGGGAAAAGTTTGCTAGGTAGCTAGCCAGCTGACTCAAAACGTCAGTGCCTTAGCCAAAATAAGTTAACTTAGTTTTTCATAGACATTGGTTTGGAGGAAAACGCTGATATAACAAACTTTAGATTAATAACTCGATTATGTCTAATGTAGCGAGATTAAGGGTTAGCTGCATTCCATATTAAGATTTATTTCAAAGTCTAGCTTGCATATTGCCTGACTCATGGCCAACTGACAATAGATAGCATACTAGATCCAGTGTTATTTTTAGCTCAGTGATGGCAACAAACGTATGGAAACTACTTACCCTGCTTTACACGTGCAGTACGAATCCTATATTTTGCCTGGTTTGATCTAAATGTGCAGTTTATTGGGTGCTCGGCTTTTCTGCATTGATTGCCAGCACTTTGCGGTTACCCATTCTGTTAAAAAAAATTAATATCATGGGTATAGCCTTGCGTTGGAAGACTTTGCCGGACAAAGTTGGACACATTCGGTATGAAATAAACCGCAATATTTTTGAGAATTCAAGCGCGAGAGTTCTGCTCGAATTTCAGATGTGCTGTGAGAAATGAGCTGCCTTGATGAGGGCCTTAGCAATGTAACTAAGGGGGGGCACAGCTGGTTGTAGAAAGTCGGAAAGGTTCATTCCAATGCAGTGAAAGACAAGGGATTGTATGTCCATACCTTTCCAACAGGAAAAGAGAGAAGAAATTCCTGGATTCACTTATCTTGTCGAGAGGATTTCTCCCCTTCAGCTCCCAGCAGATAGTGCTCTCGCCATTTCTCTCAAGATCAATATGCTTTTCATCCTGAAATAAAGGCAGATTGGGGATATTTGAACGTCAGGCCACAGTTAACCGAACTGTTACCTGAGTGGGAAACTTGTTGGCTGACATTTGATTGAAATTTTCCTTAAAATTCAAATATAAATGATTGCGTAAAGTTTTCAGTCAATTCTATTGTACTAAACTAAACTGTAATTCCTTACCTTTATAATCAGGTGTCATTTTAAAAATTTACTGGAGTTTTGTCTTTACAAGAGACAACAAAACGATGCTAACGCCAGTCATTTAGCTGCGCGCTAAGCACTTCCTGAGTGGGACACAGACACCCATAGCTCCTGAATGGTAACACTGAGCAGTGCTGGTTTTACGAGGATACTGGGTAAGGTTGTTCCTGAGTCAACAGCAATATTGGATTTAGCCTTACTTATTAACAGAAATAAAAATACTTATTTGAGCTTATCTGGTAATAAAGTTGCATTTAATCTTCAAGTGTACGGTCATGAAAAGGCTGGAAAGTGGGTCTGGTCATTACTGGTGCAGTGGTTAGCACTCTTGCCTCACAGCAAGAAGGTTGTGGGTTTGAATCCGGTCCGGGGCCGTTTTGTGTAGAATTTGCATGTTCTCCCCGTGTTTGCCTGGGTTTTCTTCCGGTACTCAGGTTTTCCACAGTCTAAAGACATCATCATCATCATCATCATCATAACCTTTATTTCGACTCGTTTGAAAACTGAGGTTTCCCTCATTTGCAGTAATGACGAGTGTACAGGCAAGCAGAAATACAGTACAAAATATAAAGAAACAAACAATCAGCAGACAAAAATTTACAGAGCATAGAAGATAAGAACTGGGCTAATAGATTAACTATAACAGTTGCAAACAGATGTACAATGGTGCATAATCATAGATTTGAATTCCGAGAAAGTTGGCAATGAAACTAGTTTAAGCGAGTCCTGAAGAGAATTCCAGGAGTGTGGGGCATTAAAAGAGAAAGAACATTTGCCAATGTTAGAGTGAATCCTAGGGGCATTCAATAAAAGCACTTTACTAGAGTGTGTAGAGTAGTTTACATTGTTCCAGGATAGCAACTGCGAGAGATAAAAGGGTAGTTTTCCGGTGAGGATTTTAAAAATAATAAATACCAGTGGATATCCCTCCTCTTAGTGAGAGAAGGCCAACCCACCATATCATATAGTGCACAATGATGAGTGTTGTAATTAGAACCGGGAATAAATCTTAGTGCAGAATGATAGACAGTTTCCAGGGGTTTCAGGGTTGAGGCTGTAGCATTTCTATAAACAACATCACCATAATCCAGCACAGATAGGAATACTGTCTCAATAACCCTTTTCCTACAACCCAAAGGAAAACTGGACCTATTTCTATAGAAAAAGCCAATTTTCTGGCGCAACTTGGAAGCAAGGTTGTCAATGTGGAATTTAAAATTGAGTTTTTCATCGAGCCATAGACCTAGATATTTGTATTCTGTGACCCTATCAATACAAGAGCCATTCAAGGTGGACAGACGAAGGCCATCAGTAACGATACCACGAGCTCTAGTGAACAGCATAAATTTAGTTTTATTAACATTGAGAACCAGTTTTGATTTAATCAGAGCCTTCTGTAAAACATTAAAAGAATGCTGAAGATTCTCAACGGCCAGTTGTGTGAAATCAGCAACGCAATACAAGACTGTGTCATCAGCATATAGGTGGGTTTGACAATCAGGCAAAGAGGAGACAATGTCGTTTATAAAAATTGTAAAGAGGACAGGCCCCAAAATTGAACCTTGTGGCACACCTTTACTTACAGGCAAAAAATCGGATTTTACAGCACCTGCGTTACACATTGGCATCGAGCAGACAAATAATCTTTGAAAAATTTACAGGCATTTTTATCAAAGCCAATGTTATCTAGTTTCTTAAGTAGCAGGTGATGATCAATAGTGTCAAATGCTTTGGATAAATCGACAAAGAGAGCAGCGCAGTTTCTTATTGTCAAGAGCAGTAGCGATATCATTTATGAGTAAGGTGATGGCAGAGGTTGGACTATGATTGGCTCTAAATCCAGATTGGTGTGGACTAAGGACCGAGTTGGTGTTCAGAAAAATTTCACTTGAGAATTAATGAGTGACTCAAAGGCTTTAGCTAGGCAGGGTAGCTTGGAGATAGGCCGATAATTGTCTAGGGAATCCCTATCACCACCCTTATGAAGCGGGATTACCCTAGCTGATTTCCAGATCAAAGGGAAGCAACCAGAGGTGATGAATAGGTTGAAAATGGATGTGAGGTCATTGGTAATGAAAGGAGCGGCTAATTTAACAAAAAAAGAGTCAATATTATCCTCGCCAGTCGAGCACTTGGGGTCGATGGCACTCAAGAGCTCAAGTACTTCACTGAGAGTGAAAGGGCGAAAGGACAAATGAGATGAGACAGTAACATGTATATCAACAGCAGGGATATTAACAGGTACGTCAGCTGGGAATGAGGGCACGTGGCTGTTCTTATCGAAGAGAAAACCTGCTTCAGCAAAATGCTTGTTAAAGGCAAGGCAGATTTCTCTTGGATCGGTGATCACACGGTCTGCTACAATTAGACGTGATGGCAGAACATTTGATGATTTTGTTTTATCAGCGTTAACTATACTCCAGAACTTGGCTGGGTTCGAGTATGAGTTGGTAATAAGGTCTATGTAGTAGTCAGATTTTGCTTTCCTGACAGCCGATGTGCACTGGTTTCTGAGCTGCCTAAAAGTAAGCCAATGGTGATGGTCACCTGACTTTCTTGCCTTCCTCCAGGTTCCTGTTTTTAAACAAAAGTGACAATTCCTGAGAGAACCAAGGTGTCACTCTATCTTTGACTCTTAAAATTTTAAAAGGAGCATGTTTAATGACTAACAAAGAAAAATTTTTAATGAAGGCATCCAGGGCTAACTCTGGATCGTTGATCTCAGCTGGACACAAGATGGGTGGTTGGCTAAGGTCACTTAAAAAATTATCAGCATTAAAGAGATTAAAATTTCGCCTCAGAACAGTGTGAGATTTTGTCTTGGCCTTACCCGAATGTCTGATACAGGCTATCGGGCAGTGATCGCTAATCCCTTGGTCAAAAACACCACAGGTGGATATCCTGTCTGGCTTGTTGCTAAAAATTAAGTCTAAAAGAGTGGATTTGGAGTGATTTGAGGAATTGGGTCTAGTTGGTTCAGTGATCAGCTGTGAGAAACCTAAGTTTCCACTTACTTCCTTCAAGTAGTTGGAAGCAGAGCTCAACCAGTGTAGGTTAAAATCACCCATTACAACCAATTCAGACTCCAAATAAGCCGATAGTAGACTATCTATTCTGTCAATAGAGCTACTATCCGCTGAAGGTGGTCTGTAAACACCAGCTACAAATAAAAAGTTGTTGGGTGACAGAACAATTTTTAAAACAAGTTGCTCAAAGCACTTTGGGGCCGAGACAGAAGTCACAGTAGACACAGACAAACATGATTTTATATAGATAGCCACTCCACCACCTCTACCATCTCTGTCACACCTAAAAATATTATAATGCTGCAGGGAAACAGAGGAATCACAGATGGATTTTTTTAACCAGGATTCCGATAAAATAAGGACATCAGGACTAGCTTGGGAAACTAATATTTTTAGATGATCAAGCTTCAAATGCTGAGAGAGACTCCTGATATTCAGGTGAATCAGCCCCAAACCTTTCCTGTTCTTAAATGAATGAGGGTTATCCACACAGAGCACAGGTTCCATAATAGGAGTCTGTCTCATGGAGATAGGGGCCTGAGGTATGAGAAGGAGATATTGTGACCTGACAGTGGTAGTATGGACAGATATGTGATTATGGAAGTGATGGTAATTTATCATAACCGGGATAGGGGATTGGAGAGGAACAGTAATCAGATTTGAAGTTGTGACCGAGCGAGATGAGTAGGGAGGTAAGTGTCTACCAGTAATTCTGGTGGAGACTGAATGCTTATAAACTGTGTTATGAGGTGCTATTAATGACAGGCAAGGCCTGAAGGGGGCGACCTCACGTAAGGCAGTACTGAAGTGACGCACCGTAAATGCAGAGTGAGAAGGGTCAGTGGAGCTGGCGGGGGTGTGGCATGTCAACAGTCACGCATGTGCAGTCTGAACAGCATGTGTAATGTGGGGAAAAAAAAGCCACTAGATGGCAGTATTGACATTTGTTTTTGTTAAGCCCAGTCTGGAGCTAGGTTTTGGGGCATGTCCTGGGCATGCCTCAGAGGGGAATGTCCCAGAGAATTGGAGAAAAGTCTGGAAGGTGGGAGGGGGCTGGAAAAGAGTATATAAGGAGAAAAATTGAGAGAGTGAAAGGGAGTAGGAGAAATTGCAAGGAGAAATTGTGGAAGGATACATTTGACCAGACCTGTCACTCTTTTCAAGACCTGTGAAGCTTTTTGTGGATTTTTGCCTGTGTTGGAGCATTTTCCTGTCCCAGGACTTCGCAACATAGCAGCCCCATCTCAATTACCAAGGGACTGTAAATATCTTTTTTTTTTTATTTCAATCTTGGTCAGTAGAGTAGATTGTAGATTAGTTCAAAGTGTTTGTTTAATTAAATCTGTTAAAGTTTTAAAATTTTGTCTGTCATCCCTTGCTGTCTGCTACGCCATAACAAATTGACGCCATAACAAATTAGGGCCATAACAAATTGGGGGCTCATCCGGGATAGACCATTGTGTCAGTCATTTATTGAAAATCTAAAATTTCAAATTGTGAAATTGTTTTTTGAATTTTCCTAGATATATATTGACAGATCAACAGCAATGGATGATTTCTTGGCATCACCAACCGTAGAGGTTTTGAAGTCTTTTAAAAAGACAGAACTGCTAGAAATATGCAGACAGTTAGAGCTGACAGAGGTAAAACCAGCCATGCGAAAAGCAAGACTGGCTAGAGAGATTGTTGAATATTACATTGATGGAAATGTGTTTGTAGCAGGAGATCTGGAACAGTTTCCAGTGGAAAATCCAAATGTAGAAATGGAACTTAAATTAAAAATGCTAGAGATTGAAAGAGAGGAAAGAGCATTCGAGAGAGCAGAAAGAGAGAAAGAAAGGCAGTTTGAGTTAGAAAAATTAGCAAGAGAAGTGAAAAAAGGAGGAAAAAGAAAAACCACGAGAGTTTGAGAGAGAAAGAGAGAAAAGAAAGGGAGGAAAAAGAAAAACAAAGAGAATTTGAGAGAGAGAAAGAGGAAAGAGCAGAAAGAGAGAGACAGAGACAGAGAGATTTCGAGTTACAGAAGTTAGACAGAGAAGAAAGGCTCCAAATGGAGCAACTAAAAATCAAAATGGAAGCTGAAAACAAATTTCATGCTAGCCAGGAGGTAAAGCTGGTGCCTCCATTCTCGGAAAAGGAGGTTGATAAGTATTTCCAGTGCTTCGAGAAGGTAGCTAAGAGTTGTCAGTGGCCAAAGGAACACTGGCCTCTGATGTTGCAAACTGTCCTCAAGGGTAAAGCTCAACAAGCCTATTCGGGCTTTGTCTGCAGATGATTCCTCTGATTATTAGGTTGTCAAAAGGTTATTTTGACAGCTTATGAGTTGGTTCCAGAGGCTTACCGACAGAA